AAGCACTCCAAGTGCCTCATGCAGACAGCAATACATAAGTACGAGTACAAATACAATCACATGAGTATAATCGACAGCGCATAAAAATCTCATTATATAAAATTGTAAAAATTTGAAAAATATAAAATTTCTAAAACACAGTGGAACCTGCCAGCTGGCTATCTGTCATAACAATCAATCAATGTGCAGACCAGTACTATCAATGATTCATCACATTGTCCATGGATTACTCAGGAGTGTGTAGCTCCCATTGTCTAAATATGTTGCTTGATGTTGTTCCTATAGTTCATTCTTGTGAAGACTTCTGCAATTTGGCATAGGGTTTAAGAGAAATACTTTTTGGATTATGATGCCCAGATTCCTCCCGCTTTATAATTCTAGTGGTGCAAAAAAACAGTTTTTCCAAGTTCTGATTTCTAGCATGCAAGAAATTCTTAAGAAAGCTCTTTTTTTAAAAAAAAAAACCTACTGTGGTTATAGTAGAGTAGATAAGGAAATCAAGAGAAATGTTGTGGAAAAATTCAGGGCTGGCTTTCTGATCACCTGACTTCACTTGGGTTTTGCTCCATCAAATTACCTCAAGAAAGACCATAATTTTCTGCTCGTACAGCTGGATAGGAGCCAGACCTCTGGCTCCAGAGGTAAAGGGCAAAAAGTAAAAAATCCTGTCTGAACAAGCAGCTCCACCCATTGCTCTGAGTCAGTTTGGCTTTCTGACAACAAAACCAAGCTCTGAAGAAAATTCATTCATTGCTTTGCTCCTGGACAAACCTCAAAAAAGCTGTACTGGTACAAGTCAGACAGCAAGATTTTCATGTGAGCCAGCATGCCGCTTAGTGAGGAATTTGTAACCACGTTCTAAATTGCAATTATAAGTACACTTTTTAATTTCCGTATGATATTTGCCCCACGAGACATAATATATTTGGTAGACATGTTCCCAGAAGGGTTTCTTTCCTGGATTAGTTTAAGGAAGCTATTTGCCTCTATGTATACTGGGATAGCGATGCAGCTTTGAGTATAGTGGGAAAGTAGAAGGTTAATCAAACTGGGGCAGCTTTTTACATATATTCCCACCTTCCCTAAAATTAGTAGTACCCACAAATACTCTAGTTATGCTACCTATTTGCAGCCTTCAACATTTGGGCAGAGGAGAGAACTACCTTCTTCTTGTATTGTTGAAAGCTTTCATGGCCAGAATCATTGGATTGTTGTAGGTTTTTTCGGGCTATATGGCCATGGTCTAGAGGCATTCTCTCCTGACGTTTCGCCTGCATCAATGGCAAGCATCCTCAGAGGATGCTTGCCATAGATGCAGGCGCAACGTCAGGAGAGAATGCCTCTAGACCATGGCCATATAGCCCGAAAAAACCTACAACAACCCTACGTTCTTTACCTGTTCACTTAGAGGTGAGCTGTACAGGCAATTCAGTGACTGGATACTTGATAAACAAGATTGGAAGAGGCAAAATAACAGCTAATTTACTGGTGGGCAGATACTGGACCATGTATCTGGGGTCTTTTACAATGCCCTAGGGCAGTGGTTCTCAACCTGTGGGTCCCCAGGTGTTTTGGCCTACAACTCCCAGAAATCACACAGTTTACCAGCTGTTAGGATTTCTGGGAGTTGAAGGCCAAAACATCTGGGGACCCACAGGTTGAGAACCACTGCCCTAGGGGCATATAAGCAAATGGTGCAATACATGCTTGGCATACCAAAGACACCAGCTAGTTGGCATCAACAATATTGAGCTAGATGGACCACTGACTGTATTTGGTATAAGAAAAAGCTACATGTTTGGACTTGCCACATTGAGGTGTTCTGGAGTTACAGTCCAGAAATGCAACTATTTCAAGCTCAACTTTGTATCAGACAGAAGAATCCCAACATTAACAACTGAAAGACACTGAAGCTATTTAATCATTCCTCTTTAACAGATTGCATTTTGTGTGTGTGCAAAAACATTAAAAAAAAGAGAAGCAGGATGAAAGCAGAAGGATAACACGTTGAAGATACTCTCCTGTGGACCTCTCAGAAAGTCATGCGAAGATTTTCTGAGAGGTCCCCATGTGCAGAGGCATGTCTGATATACATCAGGAAAAAGCAGATAGATGAATATTTTATTCATGGCTGTAACCCAGCTACAGCAGCCACACTTCACACACTAACACCATTGGGGCTCCACCACTAGCCAGGTAGGACCACAGATCTGGACACCATATACTTCACTGAAGCTTTCTGAAATGATGTTTTGTACTACTACGTTCTGAATCTAAGTCATATTGGTAATGGGGCTTGGAAATGTGCATTTGCCCTTGTTATTGTTGGTGATTGTGTGAAATTGTTAAGGGTGGATTCATTTGAGGTCTGGAAAATGTTCTTGTCCATCCCCTGTATCTGCTGTAATGTTCACTTTGCAAGGAGAAACAGGCATGTTCCCTAAATTATACGTAACTTATAAACCAGATCAATGTGCCCACATTCAGATCATAGTATGCACATGTGGTTTTTTTCCCCAAGCCAAGCTACTTTGTGCCACTTTTTTTCATGCGCCCAAAACAGTCTAGTTTAGTCCTTCCTGTTTAACAACTTCTGTGGCATTACATATATACAGCATTGTTTTTCCAAATAATTTTCTTTCCTCAATCCTGCCATTAATCACCCTTGGTTTAACGCTGGAGGTTATGAAAAATCTATACACTCTGCATTAATGGCTTTTATCAATACATCGTTTATGATGCTATTCTAACTACATGGTTCCAAGTGAAAGTGAGTGATTTTTAAAAAATGTTTTACCAAGGGGGCAAATTTTCTGGTCCGTCCTCTAGTAGTGATTATTACCCCAAACAACTTTAAGATTAATAATCTGTTTGGGTCACCTATGATTACCAATGGGACATGAGTTATTAAGACATTTTGTTCTAGTCTTGGTTGGTTGTAATGGATGAGAACTTGAAGATTCTACTGAAATCCTGTTCAGTCTTGTACAATCTACCCTCTGAAGCAAGGATCTTCCCTTTGAAGCCATAGGTAAGATTATTTACAACAGAATAAAGGGAGAGTCAACTTCAACTCTATTTTTTCTTCATATGTTGTTATATGATTCCCCCTTTCTAAGATGATAAGCAGAGCTGGCACTGCAGAACATTAACACTTGTTAATAATCCTGAGTATGTATTAAGGAACAGGTGGCCTTTTGAAAACAATTTACATGTTCAAAGCACTAATGGCTAAACAGATAAAAGACTCAATGTATTATCCTAGCAGGATATCTCTTGACTTTTTGGCATTCCAATTCTCTTTTTACAGTGTGTTCATGCTTCCACAGCAGAAGTTACCTTCTTTCAGTCAGAGTCAACCCTACATTTCCTAGTCCCTTTGGGGAGATAGAGTGGTATATAAATAAATTATTATTATTATTATTATTATTATTATTATTATTATTATTATTATTATGCCAAAATACCACAACTCCAGATCATCAATCTTTCAAAAACATGAATATGTTATGAATATTGTATACTTCCAAGTATATAGGCCAACTACCTTCACATCTTTAATCATGCATGGTTTTGATACTTCCTTAAATTTCCCAAGATTATGATTATCCTTCTTTTGTAGGCCTGTAGGTAGATTATTTAGTGGATCTTAGCCAATGTTAAAAACAGTATGGTAAAATTTTGCAACTGTAAAAAAATCAAATAGACTCTGAATCAAACATTATGGAAGTATGAAACATTGGAACACCTTCAAAATCTTCTGTTTAGTAGCTACTCATGGCATATTTGCTGAATAATTGATACTCAGAGGCAGGCATGTAGCCTGGGGGGGGGCTTGAGGGGCTTCAGCCAGCCCCCCCAAATTCTCATGGTAGTCCGTGAGAAGGCTTTACTGGTACATTATTTAAACTGTTATGTTTATTCATATCATTATCTGATCACCATGCTCAATATATCCCATATGCATGGGGGTATTGGGGTAACGATACAAAAGGTTTGCTAGGGAAGACCCTCTTTCACTCAGACTCACCCCCCCCCCCCGAATCAAAATCCTGGCTACGGGCCTGCTCAGAGGGACAGTATGGTACCATGCTTGAATACTGGACCAAGAGTTTTCAGACCACTGAAAATTGATCGTGGAAACCCACTGAGTGACCTTGGGCAAGACAAACACTCTCACTCTTTGAGAAAGGCAATAGCAAACTACTTCTGAACAAATCTTACCAAGAAAACCCATGATAGGTTCTTCCGAGGGTCCTCATAAGTCAGAAACTCTTTCTGAACAAAACCCTGTGATACATTCATCTTGGAGTCATCTTAAGTCAGAAATGACTTGAAAGCACACAAGAACAACAATAGATAGTGATCACTTGATTTTGAAGAAGACTAGCAGCCAATATTGGATTCTATCTCAGGATTGGCATTCAATAATCAATATTTATCTGTTTCTAATATGCATCTCAATATCTTATAGCATCTGACTGTTGGGCTGAAGTAGATACTATCACATGATCATGTCAAACATTTAGCAACCAATATTTGACTTCATTTGCTAGCCAGTACGCAGCAGCATTCTTTAACAAATAAAAATAAAAATCTGAATGCAATTCTTGACTTTATTAAGCAACCTGATACAGGAACCGCTCTCTCATCTTGTAAAGATTGTACTTTGGATGCCAGAATTATCCAGGTGTTGTTACACTGGGGAAATCTGATACTTTGTAATCTGCCACTCCAAGGATTTATGTGTAAGAGGAAAAATTAAGAAGGTTCCCTTCCTCTTTCCCTTTCTCCTCCTTTTCCCTCTTCCTTCCGCAAGGAATACTGGAACATGGCCCTTGACCCATTACCCTAAAAAAAAATATTGGTTGTGGTTGGTGGTGGTGGTATGCCATCTGTGGCAAGGTAATCATATGGTTAGTTAAGACTCATCTCTTCCACTTTTCCCAGGGTCATTTTCTGTTTGGGCAGAGACCCAAACAAATGTGCCTTTTTCTTACCTTTGTGGTCCACAACTTGACAGTCCAGTCAAATGACGAAGTGACAAACAGATGGGAGAAGTCAATTGGTCCCACTGCCATGTGGCAGTTGATTCCTGTAACAGGACCTTGGTGGCCTTCAAAGACTTCACCAATTCCCGCTTTACTGCAGAAAGACAGAAGAAATTCGGGGAAAAACTCAACAGCTGAATATCTTGAGATAATGCTTTCACTGTTTCTTTCATGACAAATCTCATGATCTATCATCAATTCTTCTACTCCATTTGCTCAGGACCTGAATTAAGAATTCTCAAAATGGCTTTGAGTACAGAGCTTGGAAAGCTGACTTTGAAAATATATTGAAAGGGACAGTAAAAAAAACTTAGGCAGAAATATGAGGATATTTCACATTTGCAGCCAACCTATATAGTTTGGCTAGAGAGTCCATAATTTTTCAAGTCTTCTCCTCCCCACTTCATCCTCTGTTTTGTCATTCAGCATTTCCACATGCTAACATCTAGCAACAACAGAGGCCTCTAAGTCATTGCAGACATATGGATAATGACACTATAATGATAATAAATAATCATTTCTGAACCATTACACATAATGATGCTTATAAATTATTCTACGTAACTGAAACATATAAAAGTCATAGTATGGATTCACAGCTGGTGCATAAGGAGAGTTTCCTTACTACAGGCAACCACAACAAAACTATTAAAACAGAATCATTTGTACTCATTTAAATAAGCATAAGGAAATGATATTGCTTTTAATGAAATCCAAAGTGTATACTTGCATAGAACACGAAAAGGAAAGAAAGAAATAAAGTCTATATAACTTTGTATTTCATCAGCTCAGAGTGGAACGAGATCATTGTGATATGAAATGGTTGTCCAAAATGTCCACCCCATGTCATTTTATCTGCTTTTTTTCATTGTTGTGGCATCATTACATTTTGCATTTCCCTCAATCCATGAGAGCAGCAAATATGGCAAGAAAGTTAATTTTTCAGCCAACACAAAGTTTGGGTAAGTTATTTTTTGGACTATAGCTCCTAGAACTCTTCTCCTATTAGCCATGCTGGCTTGCAAATTCCTAATTTCACTCAGTGTTATTACTGAAATAAAAGTTAGATGCTATAGCAGCTATTCAAAGATATAACATGTTGGGAGATCTTCCACATCATGAATGATATCCTGTTAGTCGGATTCATGCTATTGCAACTCAAGGTGAGAACTCATTTCTGATACAAGACCAAAGAGGTCTTTGCAGTTGCCTGTTGCAGCACAGCCGACTACAGGAAAACACCTGGGCTTGTCAGCACTCATTGGATTGCTCTCCAACAACAAGAAAGTGCTCATGCTGACTGAAAGGTTACACTGCTTAGGCCAATTTTAGGGGATAGCATAGGGAGAAGTAGCTAGAGACAAAACTATGTGACACATGTACATCTTGGAGTTTAGTATCTCAACTCATATTCATTCATTCAATGTATATTCTGCTGTTCTTCTACCATAGGATCCAAGTTTTATTTTGCCTTTATGGTACAATGCAGTCATAATAAATCTATCCAATGTCATTAGCAAAATGTGCCCCTTCTTAACATACCTTCCATGACGACAAGCTGTGTAAACGGTTCCCTCTTCACTCCCCACAACAAAGTTATTGACATCTCCAGTTGGGAAAGCCATTCCTGTAACCGCCACTGGTTTGGATTTGTTGTACACCAGCTCCATGCTCTCCTAACAAAATAGACAAGAAACATTTTTTTTCCCAACTGGGGCCTATATTGTCTATGAGATATTTAGTTAAGTAATCTCTTCTGGCCTGTCACGTGAAGAAGGGGGGCCATTTTAAATATTGCAAAAGTATTCATTTTGCATCTGTTGCATCCACTTCACTGCATCTGTTTCCCTGGTGGCGCAATGGGTTAAACCCTTGTGCCAGCTGGACTGCAGACTGAAAGGTCAGTGGTTCAAATCCAGGGAACAGGGTATGCTCCCATCTGTCAGCTCCAGCTTCCCATGTAGTGACATGAGAGAAGCCTCCCACAGGATGGTAAAATATCCGAGCACCCCCTGGAAAACATCCTTGCTGGTGGCCAATACTCTCACATCAGAAGTGACTTGCAGTTTCTCAAGTCACTCCTGACATAAAAAAAACTGATTCCAAATATAAAGTTCATCTTCATTTCATAATTTTGATGCATATACACCTCCAATGTCACAGAGACAAAATGGCACTTTGAACATTAACACTTGGAGCAAGTAGGTTGGTGATGAAGTAGGGAGGGCCATTTTGGCTCTTTTTTTTTTGTTTTAGGGGAAAGTGTTTAATTTGCCAGTTTTTGTTTAAAAAAATAGCAAGGAATATCTTATAGGTCATAACTAGTGCCCTGAATTGTGCCTGGAAGTAAACCAGTAGCCAGTAACTGTTTCAACCAGTGTTTATAACTACAGATCCTAGAATACCCTGAAGCAAATGTATTACCATATCACAGTTATGTTATGCTGCAGGTATAATAACCATAAAATTCTTCCCTGTACCAGCAAAAGCTGGCACTGTACCCAACAACAAGAACAAAGAGGCAAAGAGGAGGAAATACATTTGTCAGAGTTCTAATGTGATTTATCTGCTTAGCTAAATCCTAAATGCAAATGAAAGTGACACCGCCTTTGACTGCCACAGCTCAACAAATAATGTAGAGCAAGTGTGATATATTTATATACCACAGGCGACTTGTGTGATTACCTATGCTTTAAAACAGATTATTTAATATTCACTTGAAACTGACCTGCATATTAACGCAATACCATAATTACACGATTGGAAGCAGAGGAAATGGGTTTTGGCTCTTAGATGAGCCAACTGCTGGAAGCAAGCTGCACTCTTTCAAGTTCATCCACAGGTTTTAGTCTGCATAGGATGTGAGGTTTTAGCTTTTAGAAATGATGTTCCATTAAGCAGCTCTCCATTTTAACCCTGGCGCTTTCTTCTTGTATAGATACAAACAAACCCACCTGTGGAGTTGAGAGCATATCCAGACTCCAGGAGCACATCTTTCCGTCGGTAGAAACAGTAATGAGATTGTGGGCGTTCTGTGTTCCAACGACATTTACACAGTAGACGGGGTGCTGAAAACACATAAAATATCACTCACATAACAATCAGAAGATGCCTACTAACCCATGGGAGAGTATGTTTCCTAGTGTTGTAACTGAAATCTTTGTAAGGGACATATCATCACATATTGCCCTGAATTCCTGTTTTTGTCTTTCCAAAAGCCTGATATCACATTATGAAATTCACATGCACATACACTTTTATACCTCCATTTTATACCATTAGAAATTGACCAAAATGATTACTTCAGTGAGATGTTGTAGTAAGTGGAGGAAATTGCTGTAGCGATACATCATCATGCTGCTGATGCTGCTATTTGTTACTAAAAAGAATTACCTGAACTAAATGGTAACTTTTCAAATGGATCAAAAATACATAGATTTTGTTGACGGAAACAACTTCAGAAAATTGAAGGAAGGAAGGACAGCCAACTCTGACATAACGTGAGGCACTCCAGAAAATACTGTCCAACAAACTTTAGTTGGGGAAAATGTCAGCTAATCCATAGTCACCTTAATACTAGGATATTTTATTCTCTCATGCCCACTGATGCTAGCTGGAAGTAACTGCCCCACCCTATTGCATTTCCTCTTAGATCAGCATTTCTCAACCTGGGGGCCAGGACTCCTGAGAGGTGTCAGAGGGGTCACCAAAGACCATCATTTATGTTGGTCATGGGGGTTCTGTGTGGGAAGTTTGGCCGCATTCTATCGTTGGTGAGATTCAGAATGCTCATTGATTGTAGGAGAACTATAAATCCCAGCAACTATAACTCTCAAATGTCAAGGTCAATTTTCCCCAAACTCCACCAGTGTTCACATTTGAGCATATTGATGATTACTGGCAAGTTTGGTCCAGGGCCATCATGGTTTGACTCCACAGTGCTCTCTGAATATTGGTGAGCTACAACTCCCAAACTCAAGGTCAATGCCCATCAAACCCTTTCAGTATTTTCGGTTGGTCATAGGAGTTCTGTGTGCCAAGTTTGGTTTGATTCCATCATTGGTGGAGTTCAGAATGCTCTTTGATCATAGGTGAACTATAAATCCCAGCAACTACAACTCCCAAATGACAAAATCAATGCCCCTCCACAACCCCACCAGTATTCAAAATTGGGTATATTGGGTATTTGTGCCAAATTTGGTCCAGTGGATGAAAATACATCCTGCAAATCAGATATTTACATTACAATTCATAACAGTAGCAAAATTATGAAGTAGCAACCAAAATGTTATAGTTGGGGTCACCACAACATGAGGAACTGTATCCAGGGGTTGCAGCATTAGGAAGGTTGAGAACCACTGTCCTAGACTTACAATGGACTGTGGGAAGAACTAGTTTTCAACCTTCAATGTGTGAAGATTGTCATAGTGAAGTGAGGCCAACAAGAAATTCTTCATGATTTCAGTTGCACTGAAAACTGATTCTAAGTTCTGGGGATAATAAATTTGTTGCCTATTGGATTTAAGCTTAGACTGACAGGAGAATGTCAGCTTAACGTACCCCACAAGTGTGTAGTAAGAATAAATGGGAGAGACTGTGGTCCCAACTGCACATGATATGAGTCTACACCAGTGGTTCCAGTTTATTTTGATGTGACTGTTTTTCCTCTAGTCACAGTCCTTTTGGTACTATTTGCTCATAGTCAAGCTGGATTAAGAGTCTTTTTAAATCCACAACTTTTTTTTACAACTCACAAGATTTGTGGGTGTATGCAATTTGGATCTGAGGCTGTTGGCTTCCATCTCTTCTAGTGCCATGGCATTCTGACTGAGTTAGCTGAGCATTTGCCAGCCAACACTGACCTTTCATATGTGTTTATATGAAAGAAAAGCAAACCAAGTCATCTCATCTCGAAGTTTTCTGGACATTTGCCCTTCTCACTATGGCGCTTGGGTAGGTTGGTAACATAGTCTCCTTGAGCACGGCAACTACAAGAATGAATGGGGGCAAAGTTCAAATAGGTGGGGCACAATTCGGTAGCATGAAGAACAACTCCCGCGTAGCATTTCTTGTGCCGTGTCTGGCTTTAATCAAAGCTGTCAGCTGTCAATTTCAGAAGCAATAAGTTTCACTGTAAAATGGAAAAGGATGCTTCAAACAAAGAGTGGGAGGCAGGGAAGTGGGGAGGACATAGACACCAATGGTACTTTGCACAAAATTTAACCAAGCTCCTTCCTTTCCCAGGAGAAGACGATGCCATCTTGCTTTTATTTATTTTGGAAATGAAATCATCATGCTTAGAGGGTTGTGTATGTGTGTGCATTTTTTAAAAAAGTAATTAAAATTTCCTGTTATCCCAAACGGCAGATGTGTGGTGGGTGTGAAAGGAAATTATTGAGTAATGTGTGGTGGGACTCTCTTCCCTTGTGAATCCTGGCACTAGTTTTGAGGGATCAGCTCAGGAAATTTGGAACCTGGTGGTTGGTGGCAACATGGTATGGATTTTCCAGCTGGGGACGGCAGGGAGGGGAGGGAAGGGAAGGGAGGAATTCTTCTTTTTATATAGACTGTAAAATTAAATTTCGAAATAAAGTGTTGAGTTACTGGCTGGCTTGTTCCAGTGAGTTAGTGAGTAGAACATATTCACACTGCAATAGTTCAACCCAATGTTTTGAAAAATGTTCAGGTCATTATGAGTGGCAGTCAAGGAACAACGGAACCTGGCAAGCTGAAATTTTTGGACAATAACTCTGAGAATTCCACACCTAGCATGGGGATTCTGGAAGCTGTCACCCAGAAAAGGTGTTTTTCCAGAGAAACACACAAGGCCCCTCCAGACAGTACCTTTATCCAAGGAGCTTCCACAGTAAACAGGAGGGTGGCCAGATGCCATTCCCTGAAAACGCGGAAGTAATCGCTACAAAAGGCAAAAAACGCGAGATTTCCAGGTGCAGGAATATTGTGGGTTTGAGCTGAATGTTCTCATCTTTTAATGTCTGTATGTCCCTGCAATCGAAAATCATGGAATTTTTTTTAATCTAGGTTTGTTCCTGGGTTTTATTTGTTCCTGATTGGTCAGTTCCTAAAAAGAAGGTGACACTTGAGTAGAAGGCAAAAACTTTGTTTGTGTGGACGATACTTCATGGAAGATGTGGAGGGAACAGTTTCTCTGGCCAGGTTAAAGAATGGAACTTTTGCAGTGATTCGCATATCCACATCTCTGCATATTTGCATACCTGCATGTTAAGGGTTTTTTTTTTTAAAGCCAAAGTTTTCAAAGGAAGTCTCACGGTGACCATTTTGGGAGCCTCTAAATCTCACAGCAAAGCATCAAGTCTGGACAACGAAGGCAGAAATCCCAAGATCAACAGATCTGTATGTGGACCTCTTTTGAAGTCCTGGGATTTTTTGTCCCTGTTCACAACCCATAATTTAGTTCTGTCTAGAAGTGCCTACAGATTCATATGGCTCTTTCAGTATGGGAAACACGCAGATTCATATGGCTGTTCCGGTCACCCCAACTGGGAGGCCTAAATACTCTAAAGGGACTAGATGGTGTCTGGTCTTAGATGCTAATTAGGGTGTGCTTTGGATAGTACTTGGATGGGAGACTGTCAATAACTACTACCTGCGGAAGGTGATATTTCAGAAGAAGGAACTGGCAAACCCACTTTTGGGAATTCCTTGCCTAAGAAAGCCACACGAAATTTGTGAGGTTGCTATCAATCAACAGGTAACTTGAATAAATATAAATACAACTTTAGAATGGTGGTAGGCACTGGTCATGGTTATTCCTTCAAGCCATTCCAGTTGCAATACAATTCTAATATGCAAGGAAAATCTAAATTTGGATTGATTTCAGTACACAGAGGTGCTAGGAGATTGAAATGTTAACTTGCACCTCAATTTTATCTTTAAGAAATCCTGCCACTCTTATACAGAGCTAAAGGAGAAGAAAAACTCTATGGGATTTTTTTTCTTTCTTCAAAAATGTTGATGGGGCAGGGGGGCAGGGAGGGATTTGCATCTGTATTTTATCTTCAAGTTTGCTGACACTCACCTGCAGGAGGTTAAAAAGAAGGGGGAAATCCTCTGGTTTCAAAGATTAATTTCTTTCTTTTTAAAACACACATATGTCAGTGGGAGGTCTTTTAGATTAAAACAGAAGTTTCAAATGTTGTCCATTCAGAATAAGTTGACCCCAGTCCAGATCAAGGGCATGCATCCTTTTATCTATATGTGTAAAGTAATATCTAGTTTGGTCCTAAAACAACTACTTCAACGAACATAAGGTGTGCTTAAAAACCAAAGTAAACTGGACACATGCAGTTCTTTTTGTGTCTGTGTATAAACTCATTCAAAAGGAACATGTTCCATATCCTCATTTTTTTTGAAGTGGGAGACAAAAAAATACAGTTGTGCTATTGACAATTATCATAAACTTTCAAAGAAATGGTAAACTGAAACTTTCTGTCAACTGTGAACTAAAATACAAGTCTATAGTAGAATCCATTATTTTGAAAGGGAGTACAGTGTTCTCTCGCTGCTTCACAGTTCTCTAACCTTGGACTCACTGTTTCGCGGCTTTTAAAAAAATTAAAATACAAGTAGTGAGGGTGAGAGCCTCATGCCAGTGGGGAAGCAGAGAGGGAGGGGAAAGGGTGGCTCCAGCAAGGGGAGGGGGGAGGGAGGGGGAAAGAGGAGAGGAAGAGAGAGAGAGGAAGGAGAGAGAGGAATGGGTGGAGCTATACTGTACATATACAGTATAGCATCCCTACATCATGGTTTTACACTTATTGTGGGGGTTCCTAGAACGGAACCCCTGCGATAGGTGAGGGAACACTGTATACCCTAAAAGCATCAGATCCCTTGGAGACGAGGATAAAACCCTTGTGCCAGCAGGACTGAAGATCTGAAGGTCTGAGGTTCGAATCTGGTGAGAGCGCGGATGAGCTCTCTCTGTCAACTCCAGCTCCCCATGCAGGGACATGAAAGAAGCCTCCCACAAGGATGGTAAAACATCAAAACATCTGGGCCTCCCCTGGGCAACGTTCTTGCAGACGGCCAATTCTCTCACACCAGAAGCAACTTGCAGTTTCTCAAGTCGCTCCTGACATGAAAAAAATAAAATAAATCAGATCCCTTGGAAACGAAGCAGAGTCAGCTCTGGTTAGTACTTATATGGGAAATCTCCCATATAATATATAGTCTATTACAGGTGCTATAGACTATATTTTAAACAACTGGCAAAACAGCTCTGAATATTCCTTGCCTAAGAAAAACCTATGAAATCCATAGGGTCACCATAAATCAATAGGTGACTTCAAGGCTCATAGACACAAATACATTTTTAAAACATTTCCAAAACTGCACAGGTATGAGAATGAGAAAAATCGTGTCTTATCATCAGAATGGAGGGCAATAAAAATTGCATACAAAATCTTGAATATTTTTGCCACAACACTACTGCTTGCTCTTCTGGTGATACAATCCTACACATGACTATTCAGAAATAAATCCCACTGATTGCTTTGAGTCTCACTCCCAGGTGACTTGAGCACAGAATTTCAATCTGAGAGGTTCTGAATTTGAGCAAGAAATTTAACAAGTAGATGGGAGCAAACGAAAAGAACCATTTGGCACAAGAGTGGTTCAGCATAAAATAAGAACACAGGTATCTTGTGCAACAAGATGATAGCAACACTTTCACATCTTTGAAGATGTCTAATCTTTACAAGCCCTTACAGGAATACTCAGTGACTTTAATCAGCTCATATACTGGATAGGAAGGGGAAAAAATGTTTTAGATGAGGTTCCAGTTATTTCAGAGGAGGGAATTACCTAGAATTCATTCAGTGTTCTTGTCTGCCCCACAACTGGAAATCCATGCTTGTGATATCTACCTGAGGCCAAAATATGTAGGTCCTAACCCCATAGATCTTAATTCCTAAGAACTCATGTAGTAGCTACAATAGCCATAGGCAAATAACTAGAGGATGTCATAAGGAATAGCAAAATCACATAAGCATATTATAGAGTTTAGAAAGTATATTTTCTGAACTAGAGCTCCTGAACCTCTCCAACTAATATGGACAATTGACATTCTAGAAGTTATAGTCCAAAAAAAAAGAGAGCAATTTTTCTATGATCTTTTTCCAATACAGGCTATTTCATTCTTGGTCCAGCTGATCCAGCTGAGGACACTGAGAACCCAGTAAGAATTCTGCTCTCCCATCGTGAATGTTTCCTCTAATTCCAAGATTATTGGTATAGTAATAGAGTCAATTTTCCACATTTTCTGGGGTTAGTGGTGCAGGAACCACGTGAAAGTTGAAGAAACTTGAATAAAAAAACCACTATTTTTTAAACTGAGGGAAGACATCCTTAGGATTCTCAAGATCCTCTAACACAATTCTATGGTCATCTTTTGGTAGACGACGGCCATAGAATCACACTGGAAAACCTACAAATGCCTAGAGAAGTGTTCTTTTTAGCAATCTCTAGGTTCTCCAGCATAATTCTGTAGTGGGCATTGACCACAGAGCCATGCTGGAGAACCTAGAGCTGGCTAAAGATTGTTCAACTTGCCAAGAATATCTAATATGTTTTTTTTATGGCTGAGCAGGGATTTGAATCTTGGTCTCCTGGAGTCTTGCTCCAATACCCAAACTACAACCCCATACTGCTTTTAGTTACTGTTTAGAAATAATAATAATAATAATAATAATAATAATAATAATACTTCATTTGTATACCGGGGACATGCCTGATCTTCCTGGGGAGGGTGTTCAAAAGTAAGGGGGCACCACCGAGGAGGCCCTCTCCCTCATCCCCACCAATCATGCTTTTGACGGAGGCGGAAACGAGAGAAGGGCCTCCCCGACAGATATTAGAGCTCGTGCCAATCCATATGCAATCATGAAGATAGACGGAGCCCAAACCGTTTAGGGCTTTGTAGGTCATAACCTGCACCTTGAATTGGAATTGGAAGCTTATCAGCAGCCAGCAGAGTAGTTTTAATAGGGGTGTCATACGCTCCCTATAAGTTGTTCCAGTTAGAAGCCTGGCTGCCAACCTTTGTACCAATTGCAGTTTCTGGGCCATCTTCAAAGGCAGCCCATGTAGAGTGCATTGCAATAATCTAATCTGGATGTAACCAAGGCATGGACAACTGTGGCCATGTCCGGCTTCTCAAGCTGGCCATACTTCTATTAAAGTCATCCAAACATTTATTCATGTCAAGGCAATCTAAATACTATCTGGAGTTATTAGGTAGATGAATGAAAATCTCAACTATTGCTTACTTAATATGATATGTAAAAAAAAAATATTTTTTTAACTTTTTTAAAATATGATATGTATATCGGTTTTCCACAGTAGAAAGACTTGTTCACAATAGAAATGAGAAAGTAAGGCACTATTTTTAAAATAATGGCAGCTAGTTATATTATGGGCTTTGGGCAAACACCTGTAATTAATTATTTTTCAAAAAGTAGTTTGTCCTACCACTTCTTGCATAAAATTGCATGCTCCTATACTAACAAGTGTATAGCTATGAAGAATGCTTTTTTAAAACAAAGAAAATAGCTCAATGTTCTTTACCGTGTGTGCAGCTGCAGAAAGTGGTGTACGTTGAACTGGTGTCCTTCTGTGACTACGATTGTCCCACAACACAATTTGACCAGAATATGTTCCTCCAACAACCAGATTTGGATGAAAGCGAGCAAAGCAGACAGACATCACAGACGACTAGAACAAAAGGGGGAAAAAAAGATAGAAGAAAATTGAAAGGGTTTATTTTTAGCTGTTAAGTCACCATCTTTTGTTTCCATTTGAGAAAATAATCCTAGAATTAATATTCTGAAGCAATTTTCCTTTGATGCCTCATTCTTTCAAAGCCGAAAACCTTTAGAAATATAGGTTTGCTCACCCATACATATTGACTAACTGATGTAACAGATACAAAGCCTGTCTTTTCACCATATCAAGGTCTTCAAGGTAGCTTACAAACTTGATGTGTCTTTTGGGTTTTAATTACTGTTTATTGGAAAGTTTTCAAAATTTTACAATAGAAGAACCCCTTTCCTGTCTCTGGTATACAATTTGTAATGTAGAAATATAACAATGCATTTCCACCCAACAATTCTTATTCATCTATATGAGTATCTGTGTTTTAAAAAATTATATTCTGAGCAGTTTACATTCTTAGCAGGTGGAGGGTTCCACCTACAGATCTTCTCCTCCTTAACAGCAAAATATCCTACATCTGATTTCCATTTTCTCTGAGCTCAAGGATAAGTTCCTTTACAGATGAAGACTGCAACTGTGGGAGTTTCCTTTTTATTCAGGTGTAAACATCAGAATCCTAATTTGGACTGAGATCCCTGAACTCAAGAATCATATCTTAACTGTTGTCCTTTCTGTTGGGCTTTATTTGCAGAAAGTTCCATTGTCACATCGGCGCAACACCAGATAGACCTTTAAAATCAGCAAACAGTGCAGTTGCTATTCCATTCCTATAATATAGCGTGTTTTTTATATTAAACGACAAAAACCACACATAGAATACCATAGACCAAACAGACACAATTTAATGGAAATTATTAGACCACAGTGTCATTTAGTTACGTTTGGCACACATGAAGGTTTGGAACCAGGCATCGACCAATCCATTTCTTGATCGATGAGTCCATAGATCTGGTCCACATGCTGGATCCATTGGGATGATCCAGCTGTGTAGATCCCCAGTGTGTTCTCACGGCCAACAGAGAGTATAAGAAAATAATTGGCCCCAGCTGTACAAGACTGGATTCATGCCACACACGCTAAATTCCCAGAAGATACTCCTATACTATTCCAATGTCAATCATCACTAGTCATACAATCCTGGATCTATGTCAACTGCCCCCACAAAAATTGCATAAGAAGTACATCCACCTCATAATAGTATTATCAAAAAAATTATTAATAATACATTTAATAATAATAATAAATCCTTTAACAATAATAATAATAATAATAATAATAATAATAATTTTATAACATATTTTTACCAAACTGGGGTGCAACTATAGACATATTTCCAGTAACCCACAGAAACTTGATATAATATATGAGTTTGTGAAACTGAGGGCGGGGGGAATTGAACATTTAGAAAGCTGAGAGAGAATCCCCTCAGGGAAGCAAGGTCTCTTTGGAGATATAATTAAGGTCAGGTTCAAAGAAAGCCATCCAGATGTTTCAGAAATATCAGATGGGAGATATGCCTCCATGAAATCTGTATTGTGTTATGTTTCCTATTCAGTATGTATATCTGCATAAGATTTGTTTTTGGTTTTTTTTTTTTGTCTCTGAAACTGGCTCCTATTGTATACCCATAATCCCATCCTGGACTATTTCAGACCATTCCTGAGGTCTTGCCCTTTTTCTCCTGGGAAGATCTTCCAAATGGCTCCACCTTCAAATGAAAAATAGCAAATCTAGCCAACTTTGACATCACAGAGAGACCCCAGCCGATGACAACTCAGAGTCTAGCTCAGTCATTCCTGAGTCAATCAGGGGAGAGAGTGCCAAAGGAGATAAAATGCTTTGCACTGAATTATATGTTATATCAGTTCTTTGATTACACTGTTCCGACATCTATCTGGCCAGATGAATAAAACTTCTATTACCGCCTTCAAACCTGGGTACATTTTTCCTGGTTGTCAAAGTAGCACAGCGTGCTATGTGACGAAGCTACACCTTATGGCAGATAGCTGATTAGGTAACAATACCATAGGGAGGGAGGGTACAACAAAGTTTGGAGAGAACTGCAATCCTAGTTCAGAGTCTTGTTTTCCTGAGCAATGGGAAGTTCAGACACGTTTTTACTTGTTTTTCTTTTAAAAGCAAAGATACAGAAGCTAAAACAAGGGAAATGGCTGGATGTGTCTGCCTAAAACTTTACATCAATGTCTCTTTGGAATGATTTAGATGCTACATCGCTTTAATGATCATTTATATGCAACTATATCATGCACAAAGGTTTCCACATCCATTTTAACATTCAGTGTGATCTGCCCATATGTTGAACAGAGAATGAAGGAAGGATATGCAAAATAAGCATGTGTTCTGTAATATTAGAATAGTAGCTTCATTCTAATGTGGCAATGGCTACAATGAGGGTCTTGAATATAAAAGAACACTTGAGCCATTGATATACCACTAGTAGTGCTAATTCAGGATGAAGACAATCTGGTTGGGTTTTATTCCTCTACAAAAGTTAGTATATATTCTTGAATGTTTGAACATTAATACTACAGTATGCCCCCCATATCCACGGGACCAGTATTTGTAATACCTTATACCATGTCCAACAAAATATGTCCACTTTGGGCATTGTCTACATCCTTCAGCATGACTCTAGTCTATGGCATTCTGGAACCAAATTATTTTCATTTCAATTGGGTTTGCTATTTTCCATGGTTTTGCATATAAACACAAATTCTGAGAACATTTTCCCTGCAGATATGGACTAGTATTGTATGTTAATATTAAGGAAAACTTTTCCATGCAAACAGAAGTTTTAACTTCTCAATTTGAGGAGACATACTGAAGTCTATCCAGTAACTTCCAGTTGCTGACCATTGATAAAACGGAATACTAGACAAGAAGACTTTTAGTCCAGTCCAGAAAGACTTGCGCTATGTCCTTTATTTTCTTCCTGCTTATATCTTACTATATATAATGCATACAGCTCTGGAAAAGGTTCATTTTGTGCCTAGTGTGCCTGTTTTTTATTTTAGAAAATTAATGCAGGCCAGATCTGCATTAGTGATGGCACATCCCTTTAACCACAGACACATATGCTCATAACAGATAGTCATCTATATTATCTTGGCTTCGAAACCTGACCTCGGGACCCACATCTGACGTATACATGGTGAGTGCAAACTGCCTGCCGGTACTTCTGTTCATGTATTGCAGTGGTTTCTGCCAGCTATTTCTTGAACGCTTCTGGAGGAGAGTGTTAAATAAAAATTACTCTAATATGAAATTTAGATATGCATTTGGTAGAAGTGTCTTCTTCAGAAATGTCACTCCCTAGGGCATTTTGTGGGAAATGAAATCAGATCATATTTGTGGTCTCTTGGAATATGAAATATTTCCAGCCACTGGCAAAGGAAACAGCAGACAACTAAATATAACAGAAATACATAAGCAACCAACACCATACTACTCATAATTTAGGCATCTCGAGGTAGCAGGGAGATCTAATGATTTCTACCCAGTTTGTTCTGTAAACATCGTCATGAAATATCTGAAAGTAGCCAAAGGATTCTAAAAAGGGTTCTGTTACTTCCGTTCTGTCTATTGTGATTTTATATGGTCTGATGTGTTTATAATGTTTTTTTTGTATCTTATGTTATTTTATTTCTTATATTTTACTGTTGTACTCTTTGTTGTACATTTGTATTGTTGTACTACTGGGCTTGGCTTCATGTAAGCCATCCCGAGTCCCCTTGGGAAGATGGTGGCGGGGTATAAATAAATTATTATTATTATTATTATTATTATTATTATTATTATTATTATTATTATTATTATTCTGTTTGGACTCATTTCAGTTATCCAAGACAGTCCTCAAAGAACCAAACTCTAGAATCCAAGTAGATTTTTTGCATACTGAAACACTAACTGGACAAGAGTCAAGGACCATAATCCAAATTCCTCCAACATTTTGCACATGAAAACTTGGCATCAGCTGTGATGAAGATGGGGAAAGATTTTAATGAGGAAGAAAACACAATCTAGGACAGGTTGCATCAGTTTGCTTCTACCTTAACCTACAAGGAAAGGCGAGGATCTGCCCCCTCCTCTACCATCCCCTCTACTGAAATAACTGAGCCCGAACTACTTTTGTATTTTCAATTTAGTTTTCAGAAGTTGAAGTAAGGTAAGGACAAACCAGAAAAGTGAGAGGAGGAAAAACTTTAATGTTTTAAAAGCAGCTGAAAAAGAATGACAGAGGATTGATTGGGACTGTTTCTGACAAATTTTGACAGCTGGAATGTAGAGATATTGAAGCCAAATGCACTTTTGGTCTAAAAAAGAGGCTCATTTTCTCTGCATTATTGACAAATGAACCAAAATATTATCCTCCCCAGAAAAAAACACAGAGGTAGGAGCACTGTACCTCAGCTGCAGTATAGAAAAAAGTAGTTGCCTTTTAACTTATACAGGCAGTCCCCAAATTACCAACAAGAGAAGTTCTGTAGGTTTGTTCTTAAGTTGAATTTGTTTTTAAGTCAGAACAGGTCATTTTTAAAGTGTAACTCCAGCCAAAAATACATATTCTTTAGCTTTGGTTAGGATAGGGAAGGGTTTGGTATCAGGTCTGCTGTCTGTGACCCCGTTCAGACTGTTCCACCTCACTTTCTGTCCCTGCGCTAATTGGATTTTGAAACAAGGATTGGTGCTAAAGCAGTGTTTCTCAACCTTCTTAATGACGCGATTAAATAGCTATAATGAACATGTTCCATGTTCATGATCACTATTTAATCATGACTATGAAACTACCATAAGTCCCTGAAACATCTCTACCTATAATAGCTCAATGGGGAGGAGAAGGTCCATTCTGCCATGACTGGAGCTCAAATGAATGACATTTCTATCACGCTTGGGAAAGATTTGGCTTGGAGAGGTTATTCGCTGATGGTGTTTCGGAAGAGATTAAAAACATGGTTGTGTAAACAAGCATTCGGTTAGTT